TGGCCGGGGTGGCAGCAGGTGTGGGGGTGAGCGGTAGTGGGGAGTGCCTCAGTTACTCCAAGGCAGCCTGCACCGACACGGTGTGGTAAGCCAACCTCTACCACCACTCCCTCCCAGGCTGCACTAGGAGAGGCCAGACCTTTGCACCCAGATGGAACTCTGGCCATGGGCAATCCCCTAGCAGTTGGGGCAGGCATCCCTCCGCTCCTAAGACATTTCCCGGACAGAGGGGTGACTTCCAAACCTGGCGTGCACTCTTAGCTACCGGAAAGCTATCGGACGGCATGTGTCCCTCACTCCGAGTTCCCGGGTGGAGCCATGTGCTGGACCTCAGTTCCGATGAGGACGACGGTAGGGATTGTCACTCATTTTGTTCAGATTTCCAAGGAATGCATTTGTAGGGAGTCATCATCGATCCGAGCACGTTTCAGGACATGGAATATTAAAAGTGCGGGGCTCCAACCTGGGACAGTCAATGCATTCACACACATCGGGCCTCGGCAGAACACAAGGGCAAGCACTGCCCGGCCAGGGAAGCCATCCTTGGCCAAGGAGGCCTCGGGAAGGATCCCAGCCACCTGAGGCAGGGGTAAGCCTCTTACTGCTTATGCCGGCAGCTCCCATGTGACCACAGAACACACAGCGCTACTCTCCCAGGCTGTCCTCACCTCGCAGGCCAGGCAATGCCAATGAGGCAGAATGGGACTCCCCGATGCTCACGGACAACCACATCCAGCCAACTTCACCTGGGACGTGGGGAGAAGAGACAGGTGTGCTTCAGCATAGTGGACAGGTCTGTGGGCATCCACAGCAATGCTACACAGTGGGGACATGCTGCTCTGCCTCTCCCTAGGATCTGGGTGCTCCTTCCATGCCTGCAGACAGACACCAACACGTGGATGCTTCCAAGCATGGGGGCATGGGGTATGCGGTGGGGGATTGAGGGAAGGGTGGCGGGAAGGGGAGTGGGTCACAGGCAGAATAGGTGGAGTAGGTGGGAGTGGGCAGTGGGGGCCACCCTGGGCACAGAGTGCTGCAAAGGAAACGAATCCCCAATCCACACACCCCACCACTGGTCTCCTACATGCTGTCTGCACGGCCATAGGGGATCTCGTGGACCTCGTCCCACATGGTCTGGGTCCCAGCCCAGAACACCTCCACCCAAAAATGGCCCTCGCAGGTAGAAAACGCGCTTGCAGCACCTAATCGTCCTGAAAGTGAAGTGCACTCCAAGGAGACACAAAACAGCATCGGCAAGCTAGCCCAAGGGGACAGTTCTCAGCTCGAGGGGAACCGCCCCAGGAGTGATGAGCCCAGAAGCTTCCGGGAGAGGATGTTTCATAGCCTAGGGCCACAGGGGCACAAGTGGCCTCCTGCAGCCAGCCACCCATGCTCTTGCCCTCTCTGCCACGGCCAGATCCCCTCCCTTGTTCAATGCAGAAAGCCCACCTGGGGCTCAAGAGTCCCCAGTTCCCGAGGTGCCAGTGACCAAACCGTCTGTCATGAGGTCACCAACACTGGTTCGGGTGGGGTCCAGAGCAGGACCTGTGCAGGGGGTGACCTCACACACTAATGCCACTTGTGTGTCCGCCCCATTCCACTGTCACCCACGGAGGCCTGCATCACCAGAAGCCCACTGGGCCCTGCAATGTGGCCCAATCCTGCCCTGGGGGCCATGCCACAAGGGGCCAAGCCTTGGACCGGCAGCACCGCCTGACCTGAGAAACCAACCCAGCTGTCCGCGGGCCTGGGGTTTCCACCTCTGCCCCAAAAGGAAGCACACAGAAATCATGTGTGGATCTAGCCACCGAGCAGAAAGCCCCGTCAGCCCGTACCCTGATCCCGCACCCTCAACTGCCCCTAGTCCAAGAGCAATTCTCACAGCACTGTTCCCCGCCATGTTCTGCCAGTTGGTGCCCACTGCCCTCCCATTGGAAACCCTAACTTCTGGGGAAAATTGCATGGGCTGGCTATCCACCCTGAGGGAGCCTCTCCAGGTCACCGTTCACTGCCATACCTGCCGAAGTCAGCTGTGAAGGGGAGGGGAGGGCATTGGAAGGGCACTGGCCCCCAGATTCGACCTGCCCATCTGAACACCACTGGCAACCCCAAGACGCCCAGGCACTGCCGCCTCCCCCTAAGAGGAAACATGTCAAGCCCACCGCAGACGGGTACCCTGGCCTCCTGAGGCTCACCGTCACCTGGGCAGGCTTCTCTCCTGTGTTCCTGTGGCCAGGGGTGACCTGTCCCAGCAGGGGGATCACCCTGCTTCCAACCCCCATGTCGCACTGATGAGTCGTTCCAAGGACTATGGTTCTAACTGCCTCTATCTCTACCAAGGGCTTCCCACAGTCACCCACAGGCCACGTCCATTTGTCCTCACTGCCACATCCCCATAAGCCACCATGATTGCCACGGTCCACAGGATGGATGCTGCCGCCCAGGCGATGTGGTCAGCGTATCTGACCTCCCCATTTCTGAAACCCCTGAGCCTGCCCTACCAACAAGGCACTCCATGAGCCCTCTGCCATGGAGCAGCTGAGGAAGAAGCCTGCCCTGAGCCTGGCCTGAGGCCCTTCTCCTGTCGCTTTTCCAAAACCTCTCTGGTCTGGAGCAGACAAGGCACAAGAGCAAGGGAAGAAGAGGGCCCAGGGCCGGGGCTGTGGCCGGGGTGGCGGCAGGAGTGGGGGTGAGCAGTGGCGAGGAGTGCCTCAGTGACTCCAAGACAGCCTGCACCCATGCGGCGTGGTACGCCGACCTCTGTCACCCGCACCCTCCCAGGCTGCTCTAGGAGAGGCCAGACCTTTGCACCCAGATGGCCCATGTCACGGCAGGCAATCCCTAGGGGTGGGGGTGGGTATCCCTCTGCTGCTGAGACTTTCCCCCACCAGACGGCAACTTCCAAACCTGGCGCACACTCCTAGCTACCAGTAAAGCTATCAGAGAGCATGTGTCCCTCACTCTCAGTTCCCAGGTGGAGCCACGTGCTGGACCTCAGTTCCGATGAGGACGACGGTAGGGATTGTCACTCATTTTGTTCAGATTTCCAAGGAATGCATTTGTAGGGAGTCATCATCGATCCAAGCACGTTTCAGGACACAGAACGTTTAAAGTGCCGGGCTCCACGAAGGGGTACGTGCACCCCAATGTTTATAGCAGCAATGTCCACAATAGCCAAACTGTGGAAAGAGCCAAGATGTCCATCGACAGATGAATGGATAAAGAAGATGTGGTATATATACACAATGGAATATTATGCAGCCATCAAAAGGAATGAGATCTTGCCATTTGCAACGACGTGGATGGAACTGGAGGGTGTTATGCTGAGTGAAATACGTCAATCAGAGAAAGACATGTATCATATGACCTCACTGATACGAGGAATTCTTAATCTCAGGAACAAACTGAGGGTTGCTGGAGTGGTCGGGGGTGGGAGGGATGGGGTGACTGGGTGATGGACATTGGGGAAGATATGTGCTACGGTGAGCGCTGTGAATTGTGCAAGACTGTTGAATCACAGATCTGTACTTCTGAAACAAATAACGCAACATATTTTAAGAAAAAAGAAAAAGAAGAAGATAGCAGGAGAGGAAGAATGAAGGGGAGTAAGTCAGAGGGGGAGACGAACCAGGAGAGATGATGGACTCTGAAAAACAAACTGAGGTTTCTGGAGGGGAGGAGGGTGGGGGGATGGGTTAGCTTGGTGATGGGTATTGAGGAGGGCACATTCTGCATGGAGCACTGGGTGTTATGAACAAACAATGAATCATGGAACTGTACACCAAAACAAATTATGTAATATATGGTGATTAACATAACAATAAAAAAATTTAAAAAAAAGTGCCGGGCTCCAGCCTGAGATAGCTGATGCATTCACACACATCAGCCCTTGCAGAACCCAAGTGCAAGCCACAGCGTAGCCAGGGAACCATCCTCGGCCAAGGACACCTTGCAAAGGACCCTGTCCGGTTGAGGCAGAGGCGAGTTTCTTACCGCTCACGCCAGTGGCTCCCACATAACCAGACTACACAGTGCTACTCTCCTGGACCGTCCTCGCCTCACAGACAGGGCATCACCGATGAGGCAGATTGTGACTCGCCAATGCTCACGGAAACCCGCGTGTAGCCAACTCTACCTGGGAAGTGAGGAGATGAGACAGGTGTGCTTCAGCATGGTGGACAGGTCTGTGGGCGTCCACGGCAGTGCCATGCAGTGGGGACACACTGCTCTGCCTCTCCCTATAATCTGGAGGTTCCTTCTGTGCCTGCAGTCAGACACCCACACATGAACGCTTCCAAACATAGGGGCGTGACATATGGGGTGGTGGATGGAGGGAAGGGTGGCAGGAAGTGGAGCAGGTCATGGGTGGGGGAGGGGGCAGAGGTGGGTGTGGGAAGCGGGGACCAGGCTGGACACAGAATGCTGTCAAAGAACAGAGTCCCCAGTCCATGCACCCCACCACCAGTCTCCTACAGGCCATCTGCATGGCCATAGGGGATCTCATGGACCTTGCTCTCCTGCAATCTGGGTCCCAGCCCAGTCCACCTCCGCCCAGCAGCCACGGTCCTGGCAGGGTGCAAATCTGCTAGCAGCACCTACTCATCCCGAGAGTGAAGTGCAAGCCAGGTGGACACAAAACGGCATCAGCAAGCTAGCCCAAGGGAACTGCCCCCAGCTCAAGGGGAAACGCCCCAGGAGCACTGAGGCTGGAAGTTTCATGGAGAGGACCCTTAGTGGCCTAGGACCACAGGGGCACAAGTGGCCTCCGACAGCCAGCCACCCATGCTCCTGCCCTCTCTGCTGCGGCCAGATCCCATCCCTTCATGAATGCTGGGGCCACAGGGTGCTGCTGCTGCTGATGCTGCTGATGCTGCTGATGGCGGTGCTGATGCTAATGGTGCTGGTGCTGGTGATGGTGATGGTGATGGTGGTGCTGCGACAGTGTGACCGAGGGAAAGTTGTTCATTACTACTACCTTCACGGAGGGGAGACAAGGTGCTGGACATCAGTTTCAAAGAGAATGACGATAGGGAGTTCTCCCTCATTTTGTTCAGCTTTTCCAAGGAATGCAGAATGAGGGAGTCATCATTGATCCGAGGACATTCAGGCCACCTGGCACATAGAACGAGGCTAGCTGGGTGGCTCAGATGTTTGAGCCGATGGCCAGAGTGCCGCCAGCAGCCTGGACCATCCAGAGCCAAGCCACTAGCAAGAGGTACGCTCCAGCCGCTCTTGGAGCCAGACCCCACATGCCACCAGGCACATGTGCATTGGCAGGCTCTGAGGCAGACACAGGAAATCCCACGGCCAAGGTATACAACGGAGACAATGGAAGGCTTACCGACTTGGCGATGCATCCGCAGGGTGCCCACGTCGCGCTGGATAACAATTCTTCCGGACACCCGGCCAACCTCCGTGCATCTGAGAATGGGAAAGACTTCTCTGGGCCAACAGCAAGCCCGGCTTGGACACCAACCATGAGAAGTGGGGACAAATGACACACACGTGTGACAAAAGGATCCAGGTGCTCAGGTCACCGGACCGCTCCGAATGCCTCCTAGGTGCAGCCTCGCATCGGCCTATCCTGACCCTCTGTCGCACAGGCAGCGCTGGGGACGGCTGAGCAGGATGCCCTCTGCTCAAGACTACACAGCCATTGGCACGCGAGTCTGTGCAGGCGTGGGAGTCAGAATGGGAGTGTTGTGAGCGTGTGGAAGTGGAGTTCGGGTGGGTGTAGACATGGGCTTCTACCTCTTTGTAGTTCGGGTCTGTTTCGTGTGGGCACGTGTGCGCGAGGGGCGGGTATGTGCATGCCTGGTGGGCGGTGGGCACGGGCGTCGGTGGTCACGTGTGGAAGGCTCAGGTCCCGAAAGACCCTGCCCGGACGTGGAAACATGGCCTCACGTCCTGCCATGCAATGGCACGAGACCGGTGCCACTGAATCTCCACTAGCCCGTTTGGCCCTTGGTGTCGGCTGAAAATGGCCCGAGACTCCCCATCTCAAATTCACTCTGGCAAAGCAGGGCATGCCGTCTCGAACTAGCCCCGCTTCCAAACCGGGACGCCAGGTCGCCTGGACAGTGTCAGCCCACTAGGTGTACCGCTGTGACTGCACCTCACCGCTCGGCGGCAAACCCCAGGGCCGCGGGAATGCTGGCAGCCCTGGGACGCCAGGGGCAAGCCTGACGTAGACGATCGCACTAGGGAGCGGAGCGGCCTTGGACTCCAGGCCAGACACCAAGTAGTGCGAACACGGCCCAACCGCCCTTGGGAGCCAGGCAGCTCAGCCGTTGGCAAGCGGTGCCCTGCCCCGCCGAGGGCCAGCTGGGCGGCGCACTGAACCCAGGGCCCATTGCCACTGAGGGCACTGGCCTGTCCACGGCCAGCGGCTCCGTCGGCCCTGCCTCCGAGGAAATGTGCAGTCAGGCGGCGACCCTGTGCAGAGCCGCATTCTTGTGCATGCCCTGGCAGGTCCCCCAGGCAGAATTATCTGCCTGGACTCGCACGTCTCACGCAGGGACCTTCAGCGAGGACACCCACAAGGGCAGAGCAAGGGATAGTCCGCCACCCTGTGGGATGCAAGCCGGGGCCCCTCGCTCGACACAGGAACAGCACGATGGTCTCTGTGGATCTCCATGCCCGACGCCACGATGGCGACGGACGCGGAGAGAGGAAGACGGCTCCATTGCCCAAGGAGAGCTGCACGTTTGAGCAGCTCCCCTAGCCACCAGGGCGCTGTTCTTGACTGCCCTCGGTGCACTCAGGGCCTGCCTGGCCCTGCCTGGC